GGCTAACAATTTTATCACAATAAAAACATTTCATTCCATATCAATATCACAGTAATGTTAAATCAGTTTTTATTTTAAGTTTAAAGGCAGGTTTTTATATTAATTATGTGGTTAAAGCTTTTCTTTAGGGTCAGAATGTGACAAACGCTTGATGCCAGACAGTGGATCACTTCACATATCTGAGGTAGAACATTCAAAACAATTATGATATAATCTTTTTTCAGAAATTATGATTAGTAAATCTTGTTTCAGTCCCTTTTCCTCAACTTATTAGAAAAATTACGTGCTAATTTGTTTGTGATCCAAATGAAATCAAACATTTATTGACGATATATTGAACATTTGTTATTGTTATTGAGGAAAATTGTATTGCGATAATTATTGTAGCATGTCTACATTGTTTAAATAAATTTATGAGAATTAATACCAAATTATGAATTCTAATATTCAGAAAATATTAATTCATAAATCCCTCGCGGGGCACCACCCGATATTCCGTTTGCCCAAGGCCTCGGGATTCCCTGAGTATGGCTAATAATTAGACAATTATTCACTAGTGATCAGTTAGTTAACAATTGCTCAGTTATCTTAAATCAGTCAGTCAGTCTCATATCGAAGGGGTAAATTCTCTTGGCAGGGACTTGGAGATAGGCAATACACACAATTCCTTCATTACAGTGGAGTTTATTAACTAACCAAGGTGATATAAAAATGCGGTTATATACATCAAAGAAATAAACAATGGCTAAACAATGAGGAGGTGGAGTTCTATTGTGGGGAGCATTTGACTCATACGGCAGCTAATGAACGCAATTAGATGATAATTCGGTTCGGTCTAGGAGTTTCAAGGATTAAATGTACTGGACTAATAGACTATGGGACATCACTGATCACAGAATGCAGGGATTTGGTCTTACTGCGTGTCGCTTCGCCCAGCCGGGTGCAGGTCAACGGCCTCACACTGGCATAGATCCGTGCGTTCTCGGTTAGGACAGCTTAAAACCGTCGGCCGGCCGCTTTCTCTGCCAGGGAATTGCTCCGGAGGTCCGTCTTTTGTCGGCTTATTGAAGAAACTTGCAGTGGGGGCCAACCCTGGCTCGGGTCAGAGGTTTGGTCATCCTTTGTTACTGCTGGCGTGAATTTAGTCATTTTTAACCTTAAATTTGAGCTGGAAAATTAACAGAGTATAGGATGACATTTCTTTATCATCATTTCTAATGGAAGTGTCAGAAAGTGTTGTGAACAAAGCATTGGTTACAAATAAAATGAATAAAGTGACCTTGCCGAAAATTACAACACTGCAAAATTCACTTATTTAGATTCTTTTCAAAAATAGCAACTACAACAACATGGTAACATAACTACTCAAATGGAATGGGGAGACCTAGTTGAGTGACTGAAAAATGTAATTAAACAAGGTAATTTTTGAGTCTTGAGGAGACAATGCTCTGTTTACACAAAGGAATTTAGAGCTGTCCTGGGTGTCCTGGAGTTCCTCACACCTGGGCGTGAAGAGGAGAATATCCTTTGATGTGAGGTAATTAAACAAAGAGCAAGGTCAGTTGCCATGGTTACATGTGTGGGGGGGCAGTTTAGGGTTTCCTGCCCTCTCTTACGAAGAGTTTTGATAGGCTGTTCATGAGAACGCTAATCTCTGGTCAGTGTTTCTTTGTCATTTTAACAGTCAGGCGCCGAGGCTTATCACGGCTGCTGCCAAAGGTGGCCAGTTTTATGATCAGACTGCCCAGAAACAGCACTTAGGGAGAGAAACCTTTCACCTCTTCCTTGGAGTCACTTCGGCTGTCTGAGTTGATATCGCCCCCCTCCCTTTCTTTCTCCCAGGGAGAGAGAAAGAATTTGGAGTAGTCAAAATTTATTTGATATAAAATGCACAAATCCACACTGTTGGTTCACAACATTATTGATTTATTGCCCAGCCCTATGTGCAAGAATTTCCCATTGTTAGTGTTTTCTTATGATTTACCTGTGCTTTCCCTTGGATATATTTTCTTTTAATTGCTTAGAAAGTATCTACAAGATATCTACAAGACACATTTTCATTTTCATTTTATGGCACTCATCTCTTATCCGTTTAGTTTCCAGCTGCTATCCTTTATTGAGGACCAAATTTTCTAGCATGTTATTGGTTTTCACGCATTAGGATAAGCATGAATCTTACAATCATTTTCTTATTATCAAGAAATCATGGAAAGACCAAACCAAAAATCTGTTTATTCTACCATAGTCCCTGTGTAGCTCGTCATAGACCTACACTGTTGTCCAAAAACTATTAGCACCTCATTCAGCCACAACGTTGCACTGGATGACTTGTTCCGTCATTACACTTAATGTGGGCACTCTAGTTTATTTTGAGTCAGATCCCACATAAACCTTCCTGCTTTTTTAAGTACTTACTAGTACACCAAATGTGTATTAATCCACAAATGTTAAATAGTCCCAGTTTGAGTAGCATTTGCTAAAAGAAAATACAGAGTTTTTGGAACATTTCTTTTGCCTTGAGTTGTTACAGATTTACATCTATACAATAAACGGTAGTAATGGGTAGTAATGGGGGTCCTGATGGTCAAGTGGTTTAAGACCGGATGCTTACAATGACATGGCAATGCCCCTCAGTGTTTACTTGGACGGGTCGCCCAGGTATATTAACGGCTGCCCAAGTATATCTAGTGGCCTATTTCTGCATTTTGCAGAGAAACACATACAGAGTTGTTATTTATTATATTACAAGTTCCAGACACTGTGGATTTTTTATAATCACGGACCAGGTAAAGCAACGGTGAACACACCAGTGCAGATGTCATTCGTTAGCAAGCTCATTAACAAGCCTCCTCCACATGTGGCACACCTGCTGCTGTAAACGGAATCGCGGGTGGAAAAACCCAGAGGACGAATTGTGTCTTTTCAATGACTTTATAAAACATACTGCTGAAGGGGAAAGTCAGCAGAGCAGACACATACAGGGGAGAGAGACAGAAAGAGGTAAATTAAAATGGTGAAATAAGAAATAAGCTACTTTAAATAGAAAATATACCCTGTTAACACGCTACCTCTCCCCCTCCACTGCCCAAGTTCTCTGTCATTCAGGGAACATTTGTCACGTGTCATCACCAAGTATTTCCTGTCTCTCGCTGCACTGTCAAAAAAAAACATTCAAAAATCCAAAGAAATATTGAGATAACACACCATCTTGCACAGGGTCAGCCTGATCCTTTAAGTCTTGATTCTGATTGATGACAGCAGCACACGTGTGGTCCTAGTGACAAAAAGTGGCAAAATAATGAAGTCCTTTAAAAGATGGCCTTCAGCAGTATTGGCCTAATGGATTAAATAAACTAGACAAGTTTATATAATCTTAGCATCTGAAGTTTAGTTAAGAGGTTTGCTTCATCTACTGCTAGGTCTGTCCAGAGATTGAAAACCTGGCCAGTCAGCCCCATACAGGTGTGTGTTGATGTGTGTTTGCATAGACAGACTGATAAATGTACCACCCTGTAGATTATCTTTCGGTCAATTGTGGATCTAAATTACCGGTTGTTAATTTATATCTTTAAGGCCTAACTTCTACTGCCTGCACTAGCTCTGATTATGTTGCTGCTGCTGACATTATTGCCTTGTACTTCTCTCCCAATACTAAGTCAGCCACGGCTTGTCTTCATTAACTATTAGTTGATCAAAAGCCTGCAGACACCAGACCTTGAATTCAGTTCACTTTATTGCCATGTATAAAACCTCTTTGATAATTTATTTAATGAAATACTTGTACGATGCATGTTCTTAACTTGGAAGATAATAAATAAATAAATACAATAAAAGACAGTACTAGTAACCTTGAAAATTATAACCACAAGAAGTAATAAAACATTGTTACATTTTGTAAAAGTACACTATTTCAGAATTTTTTGTGCATGACGCATCCAAATCCTTATTACATGATGCATGTGTGCGTGCGTGTGTACATGTGTGTCTACAGCATGAGCATGTGTATGTGAATTATTAAACTGGTTAGCCTTTTCCAGAAACATGGAATAAGAATAATGTGCGAGCGGGTGTCCTTGATGAGATTTCAAAGAAAACATTCAAATAAATTCGGTGCGTTTTGCCTTTTATGCAGTGAGAACACTCTCAGCAGAGCAGCACAAAGTGCACTTGGCCAGAGACACCTCTGCCTTAATTGAGTTGACCTAATGTGAGGAATGCAAAAACATAAATTCTTCAGTTGACTCTGATTCTGCACTTTCATAATTTCTGTAAGTCCTGAGCTATATCAGCTATAAAATCAATTTTTGGGACAACTGTGAAACCTCCCTCACACGCTGAACAATTTCGGCAAAGTAACAAAACAGTTTCTGCCTGATTACCCCAGCAGTAACCTCACACTTTAAAATGTCATCATGTAATGAGAAATTATATGTTTTTTTGCCCAAAGATACTTTGTGCTGGAGTGAGTTTTTTTTTTCTCAGTGTGCAGTGTTAAAAAGGATTCAGACCACACAAAAGCGAAAGAATCCAAATGGACCAATATGGTTTCTTTGCCCACCTGCAACAGGCAGTTCTGTCAGTCACTCAAGCAAAGGAGTGATGGATGGCACACTCACTTGTACAGTAACTCACTGAGTTTCTAAAAATGGTACCTGTGAAATTTTCTCCAGCTTTTTTCTTACTTTCAAAGAAAGTCTGTCATTGTTAACAGTTTTGATATCAGGTCGACACTTACACGTCCATATTCGCACACTCCATCTCTCTCACTTGTCCACCCCCTCCCCTCTCTGTTTCTCTCGTCCTCTCTCTCACTCTCTGCTGTGAGTCTGCATCTCACTTTTTTATTAGTTGATGTTTTTATAATGCCTGGTTTTAGGGGCTGCCGCGGCCCCCTCAGCAGCCCTGCGTCCCACATACATTCCTCCAGAATTAAACTAAGTTGTAGAAGTAGAAAACATTCTGAAAATTAAAAAGTTGATATCTTTCTCTCTTTCTGGCAGCCATGGACGCGCCCCTGAACCTTACAGCCAGTGAGGTGAATCATCGCAGCGCTCTCATCTCCTGGCAGCCGCCAATCGCAGAAATTGACAACTACATGCTCACCTACAAGTCAGCTGACGGCAGCCGAAAAGTATGTAGCGCACAAGGCATGAGGTCTTGTCTCCACTCTGTCTCTTACACACATACACAGATATACACATACGAACTGTTGACATCCTATGTACTGTAATTCCATGTATCTATTTTATCTGCAGCCAAATTGTGTTTCCATATCTTGTGGTTCTAGAAATCCTGTTGAGTACCCATGCTACAGCAAACTTACTGTGTCAGGGAGATAAACTGTATTTTTGTTAATCCACACACCTGAAAATAGAAACTTAATTCTGCAGATATTGTACAACATATTGAAACCCCTTCTCGGATTTAGAAAGTAGAAAATGCTCCCAGTTTAATCAACTTATCATACCAGAGTTGAACATTGTTCAGGAAGAGGAAATTATTGCAGAATCACAACTTTATGACAAGCACTTCAAAATTCTAATTTTATCTTTCAATCATGTAATCCCTTGATGTGGAGCGTGTGAGCGTTTGGGGACACACACAGATTGAAACCCACATTAGGGAACTACGCAGTGAAATTGCCTGTCTAATAGTAATATTACTTTTTATGTGTCTCAGTAGAGACATTGTTTATTTTGATTAAACTTTTTGATGTGGCTGAGTAATAGTAATAAAGCACATTCATAAGACCTTTGTGGAACACCACCCCCAAATCCGCTTGTTAACAAATTGACTAGAACCATTTCCCATGATGCCCTGCAAAAGACTCCATTTTATTGGAAATTGGATGTCTGACACACAAACACACACGCAACCACATGCACACAGACTGTCTTCTTCAATGCCCACTGTAGTGGCATGTTCTTATCAACAGTCAAAACACACACACACAGTCTGACCCTGAATGTGCAGTACTGCTGTGTGGTGACCATCGGGTGTCACTCATGCACAAAGAATGTAAAAGTAACACTTGAGATGATCCTATTTTTCAGCTTTCACGTACTACTAATGCAAACAGACTTCATTTGTATTGTTCTTGAAACGATTCCTTTCTTCATTCTGTTGATCCCAAATTCTGCCTTTTCATTTTTACTACAAAACAGTGCTTTGTTTCTAAAGAAACATTTGTCCAGAAATATTAAGGCTTTTACATACAAGTGAAATCAGCATGTTGTATGCCATTTTTAAGACTCTGCATACATTTGCATGTTAAGTCAGACTGAAATTTCTACAGCATACATATCTGCCTAATACATAAACATAGAGCATACAAATCAGTACCCAAAAGGGAGAAATTAATATTTAATTCAGTTTCATTACGCGCTCTGTTTTACTATGAATGATGAAATTTATTTCATACAACCAATCAAATTGTCCTCTTCTGTTCTATCAGAGGCAGACAGTCATACTCACTAACAACCAAACAGCCTGCTGCACAACACAGGAGCCACAGACTTTTAACAACCACCCACATTAGATTCCCTGCTAAATACGCCCCCTGATTTAACTTACAAATAAACTTAGCTTAACTTTCAAGCTTACAAACAAGGACACACACATCTTGTGTTGCACTTTGGGTTGCTGAATGAGAGACCAGACAAACATCCACCGCAGGAAAGTGCACTGCCAACGTCAGCTTGCAGGTTAGATAGCTAACTAACTGCTTAGCTGCCTCACATTAAAATAGGGTGACTATACTTTGGTTTTCAAAAAACAGGGCAGTAGGGGCAAGAGGCAGACAGACACCCGCAGTGGGTGGAAGGTTGGGGCTCAGGGGGTATTCAAGGAATTGGTGGCACCGTGGCAATTTGTAGGGGGGTGGTTGGGGGTATTGAACTTTAATATGGCTTACATTTGAGTTCTAGATTGCTAGCACCTTTTTGACACTGACCGGTACACGAAAGAGTAAAATGTATAAGTGCCTGTAAGGTTACTGGTCATGGCAATGCAAAAAAACACAATGAATACCGACTGTGGAAAGCAAAAGCCAAATCTCGGACATTTTGGGCAATTTAGAAATCCTGGCCAGGCCCATTTTTTAGCTCCGAAAAAGAGGACGTACGGTCACCATAATTAAACAGGTTTCAAAATTAGCTGCTAGTGTTACATCGGTCAGTCTTGATGTTGGTGTTGTCTTCACTGCAAACAAAACCCTATTGGCCCATAGCTAGTAAGCTACCGTTTCCAGCCTAAATTAGTTTACTTTGTCTGTCATTCACCTGTCGTGATGGGCTGATTATAAAAATTATTAACAATACATTTGCATTTTTACAATCACTTTGATATTATTTTTGACTTGAAAAATACTGACTGATTGTGATTTCAGTTCACTGCTTACATGTAGGTTCCTTGTTGTTAATTACATAAAGTACTGTTAATGACATAGAGTCATTTCTTATTAAATTGATGCATTAAATATAAAGAGAGGTAAAAAGCTGGAAGATCTTGCAAACCCACTTGGAAGATTTAAAAATATATTTCATGTTTTAGTCTTCTCACCAACTTTTTATCATATTATTTTAGCTTGTATTCAAATCTGCGTTCACCACAGTGAGCTGCCTCAACAAGTGCAACATTTTGAATTTGTTCAACAACAAATGAGTCATACCACTCATGCTCTGAGCAGAAATGATTGCTGCGGATTGAAGTGCTCCTTATGAGAGTTTCTTTAGGCTGTCTGTGCTTGAGGTCTGGCTTGGCTGAAAATATGCGTCAGCGTTACTTGTAATCTAACTGGATGTTGGTGAGCTTACAGCTGTTCAGCCAGCTTCCATTCTTACAGATAATGGACTTAATTTAAGCGGAGTAGTTGAGAGATTAATTTCTTATCTAATTAAGATTAACTAAATACTTTGTAAATGCATGTATAATTTTTTGTTCATGCCTGGAGTGAGAAATCTCCCCATTCACACACAAACACAAGTGTAAATACGCATCCACCAAACATCCAACCACTCAACCAAGGAATCAATAGCGAATGTATGAAGGTATGTGTTGTCCTTGATAAGTTTTGCTTGCAATAAAAATCTTATCTTGACCCTGAAAACCTGGTGGGAAAATGTCACAACCTCAGAGACAGACACCATTTACCAGCTGCTTCCCTGCATAATTCACATGGACACATTGCCTGGATATGTGATTCCCCCCCCGCCCCAAACTGACTGAATATTTCATTTTTTACTTGTTCATATTTAATGTGTACGCAGGGCAAACTGTAACACACAAGAACACAAATACATGCATAGACGAGTTCACATTTCTGTTAATCAACTGAGTGTGGACTGATTTCTCATCTAAGAATGGGATGTCACAGAAAGTACTCTCCTTATGACGTGATCAATAAAAGAGGATTTGTCAAAAACAAAAGGGAGGTAACTTTGTTCTGTACTGTCATGACTCCTTTACCAAAAATAGAAATGTTTGTTTCCTGATTGCTTAGTAGCTTCTCAGCTTGGCTGAGTCTTTTATCTCCTTCCCTCTGTCTAGTTGACCCCCCGTTCTTCTCCCGCCCCCACCCGTATACCCTTCTCTTTTCTCGCTTCTCAGCATCTCTCCTTTTGTATCTTCTATGGCATTACTCACTTTTCACATGTGAAAGATTTGCTGCTTTTCTTTATCACTTATGATATAAACAAAGAGTCTTTGGGCTTGGAACTGCTGGTTGGGCAAAACAAGAAATTTAAAGAGTAACTTTGGGGTCTGAGAAATTGTGATGAGAAACTTTCACAACTTGTTGACATTTTATAGACTAAATGATTAATGATTAATTGTGAAAATCGTTAGTTGCAGCCCTAATAGTTGGTTAGTTTATATTTCTGTGTCATGCAAGGCATAGCCCATCCCATATGGGATTACAAGACACCGATGTTTTACAGAAAGCAAAACAAAACATCAGGTACAAGATTATAAATTATTCTTTATACTTTCAAATAAAAGATTTATGTAGAAAAATTCCAAATGAACTGTACACTGAAAAGAACTGCTGCAAGCCTAAAGTTTGTGCTGAGAATTACGTAGTTTTGTAATTTTGTAGTTTTATTCAGTGGGTGGTGATGGGGCAGTGGATAAGACGCATGTTTGGTGTGAGAGATCTGGGTTCAACTCCCGACTCCCACACGTCCACCAATGTGTCCCTGAGCAAGACACCTAACCCCTAGTTCAGAGGTCACTAATAGGCATACCACGGTCCAGATCACGTTTCTCACTGAACAAGAGAAAGTAGGAAAGTGTATAAGAGGGAATGAAAGAGAAGAGGAGGCATTAAAGCTGTTGAGAGATGTGTTGAATGTTAATTATAAAATTGGTTGAGACTCAACTTCAATCCCTCAAAGTTAGTTTTTATTATTTTTTCAAAAATTGAGCAACAAATAAAATTTCTTTTAAGATGCACATTTACAAAAACTTTTTTTAATTGCAGCCATTAGATTACTTAAATTTTGAATTTGTTATTAGATTAGTTATTATCCCTTCAGTTTATGTGAAAATAGTGTCTGATTTGACCTTTATATACAGTCTGTGGATTTGACATTTGTCAGTTGTTGACTAAAAACATATGCTGATAAGACTTGGCTATACGTTATGGTAGGCTACTGAATGATAACGCAAGTTAATGTTCTGGACCTTTGCTTCGTGAAATTTTCTCTAACTGGAGCTCTTTGAATTTTAATTGAAGACCCCTGCCCTAGTTTCTCAAGAGGTGTGCTGCCTCTGATATATATAGCAATTTTAAGTTGCTTTGGATAAGTGTCAGCTAAATGCATAAATGTAATGTAACGGTGTGTTTCCTTTGGTTGCCTGTCATTGGCAACATATAGTTGCTATAACTTCCAGGGGAAGCATGAGATACGTCAGAGTGAGAAAGGAAGTAAACTTGAATAAAATTTATTTGATACATCACCTTGTCCGTGAACATGATTTTTGCCTGCGTCACATCAGATAGACTTTCATCGGCAATAGTGGTTATTTAAGAATGAAGACAACTCCTCGTTGGCTTGGAGGGACCTGTTTGCGTCCCTGTTTTGCTTCGTTGGCCTCGGATCCCTGCTTGCCCATTTCTCTGTCGGCCAGTTGTTGGACCCCTCTGGATACTGAGGTATATAGTTAGTTTTAGTTAGTTAGGATGTGCAGTGTGGGTGCGGGGCAGGGCTGTGCTCCGGTTTGTTCTGGGTTTGTGCCTGGAGTTCTCGGCCCTTGACGGGAGGGTGGGTTGTTGGTGGCATGCAGCTGAGCTAGTTGATTTTGCCTCGTTGCTGGTTTGGCTGGTGTTGCACGGCGGCCGGGGGGCGTGCTGGGCATGGGGGATGTCGGCTGGCGCCGGCGGCCTTAGTTTTTTCCAGCGGTGGCCTGTGCGGCGCGTTTGCTGCCGGGCTGGGACTTGCTGCTGGTGTTCTCTCCGCTGGCTTTCGCTGTCGTGTTGTTCCGTTTGCTCTCTCTCGTTTGCCCGACCTCGCACGCGGTATTCGCGGGGGGCTGCTGGGCATGGTGTCGCCGTGCTCGCGCAGTGTGCGCGTTGGGCTCGTCACTTGTGCATTGGTGTTGATGATTGCGTGGCATTTGGGCATTTTGGTTGTTTGCTGCGCGGCGGTGGGGTGCTGGATGGGGGGGAGCACTGGTCTATGTTGTGTGCGCGCCGCGGTCGGTCCGGGCGCTGCTCTTCCGCGGGTTACGCTTTTTGCGTTCGCTCGGCATTACGTTGTCAACTGGCATTTGGGTCGGGGTCTTCTGCGTTTGCATCGCAGTGCATCTGGGAGTCTTTGTTTTTTTTTTAGTTTTTTTTTTTTGATTTATTCTTTTTATTTCTCCCACCCCTATTGGCTACTGGGGTTCTTGCCTGCCTGTTACAGTCGTGGCGTCCCACTCTCACTAACAACTACATTCTTTAACAGGCTTATGCGCACACACATGTACACACACACATACAGACACATTCACCCACACACAGACACAAACAAATTTAGGTTGTCCCTGGTAGAATTATTCCTGACGCCTTTCTTTCAGTTACTTATTTAAATTAATTATTATTCCAGCTGTGTTGTGTTGCTTATTTAGTGTGTGTGACTGTTTCTTGTTTTCATTGTTCTCTTAGTTGTCTTAATATGTCAGCTGTTCATTGCTGCTGTTCGGCTGGTTGTCTTTTACTATTATTATTATTTTTATTGTTTTTTTGTTTGTGTTTGTTTGTTGTTGTTGTTTTTCTCCTCCCCAAGCCCCCCTCTCTGTTCTATTGCAGGTTTCGTTGCTTTCTGCAATTGGTGTTTCCCACAGCTTTTCCCTGTTGTCCCCACCCTCCATCCCCCTTTCCCCCTTCTCTTACAGGTGTTGTCCTTTCTCTGTGCTGTCTGTTTGTGCCCCCCCATCCCCGTGTCTGCCCCCCTGTCCGGCCCGGTGACAAATCAATACATAATTAAATAAATAATAAAACAGACAAAGGAGTATTTTAATACTCTCTTGTTAAAGTAAAATCTGTCTGGCACAAAAAAAAATAACAGAAAAAAAAAAAGAATGAAGACAACAAGTCCCATAATCCCACGCTATTTCAAGATGTACAACTTCTGTAATTGTTTTGATGTGACAGACCCCTAGTAGCAGAAATTACATACTGTTGGTTTAAACTAACCGAATATCCTTTTTTTAAATTTGTACGGCTAGTTTGAGAATTTTGGGCTACTGCAGTGCAAAGCAGGCCATCAAATATATTCAAGGTTTCTTTGTTCCCAGCGCTCTTTGTAAAACTCACAAGCTCAATGCAGTGTTTTATCAGTGACTTATGGGGATTCTAATATAATTTAGTTTTAACCCTGAGGTTTTTACTGAATACACATTCAATTATTACTTTTATAGAAGGCAATTTCACAGGTACCACTTTTCTTTGTCTAATATCTTTTAACATGTATGTGAATGAATTTGGTCGTGTGTGTGTGTGTGTGTGTGTGTGTAGGAGCTGATCCTAGATGCAGAGGACACATGGATTCGACTGGAGGGATTGGCTGAGACCACGGAGTACACAGTCAAGCTCCAGGCTGCAAGAGGACTTGACACCAGCGCTGTTGTCTCCACTACCTTCACCACAGGTACAGTACACACACATCCAGTCACATGTATTTGTGTTCTTTTATTTAAGCCTGGAAAGAGATTCTAACGGGGTGAGTTTTCTTGGCCCCACAGTTTTTTCCCTTCTGGACTGCATTTCACATTACTGTCACCATAACCAAAGGAGCACAATAATGGGTCCCCAAAGTCAGGCACAATTTTCATCTCCCCTCTCTGTAGCATAGTGAGAGAGACTTCCCATTAGGCTGCACCTGCAGGGTGGCTGTTTACAATCCTACAGCTCAACAGTGTGCTCTAATCTTTGTGCTCAGCGTGTAATTGGATGCTGGATATGTCACTCAAACAAGGGTTAGGAAGCGTCAAGAATTTGCTGATTGCCTGAAATTTATATGAACATGCCAAAAGTAACATATTAATATCCATAATTTCCACCAAGGTAACTTTCATTTAAAACTGTTTTAATGGATATTTAAGGCCACTTGGGGGCAGCAGAACAAACTCTAAACACAATATTGGGGTAGTATCACCATATAAAGACATAGAAAACCTCATAACAAACAGATGCTCACTTACAGATCCAACAGACACGGAGCAACATTAGCATTCATTTGGAGTCATATGTCTGATGAATGGAAGGTCAATATTGACTCTACTTTTAACGCTAAGATATAACTTTATTAATCCCCCGTAGGGGAAATTTCTGAAAGGGAGGGGGAAGGGATATTTATTCTTTGCATTTAACCCATCCTATTTAGGAGCAGTGGGCTGCCATCGTACAGTGCCCAGGGAGCAGTTCGGCATTCAGGGCTTTGCTCAGCGGGTATCTTCAGCATGGATCGGGCTGGACTTGATCCAGCAACCCACCAGTTTCCAAGCCAAGTCCTAACAGACTGAGCTAATGCCACCCCTGTTTTGGGCTCCCCCAACTCCTGAGGGAAATATATGCTCTATAACAGCTAAATGCTCCACTAGTTCATCATCTAACTTTGTCTGTTTGGTGGTGTTACCCACAGTCGGTTTATAAGAGCTTTTTCAATTAAAACAGCTGCCTACTGTGACTGAAAACAGGATTGATAAAAGCAGTGAGAATTAATGAAAACAGTAAAGTAAAAACACTGCTGTCTGGAAATAATTGTCTATGGGTTCGTCACTACAAACTCATTTTAAATTCCTCACAGAATTTAATCCATTGTTGAAATAAAAACATCAATTACTGCAGCTTTAAAAAATACTATATAATTTCAAGTTATATCCATGCAGTCTACATAAATCTTTACAAACTGAATCATTTCAAGTCGAAAGATGGAACAAATAAGCAAATTATAACCTACCTCCTCTGCTTCTCTCCAGGGAGTCGTCTGTTTGCAACACCTCAAAATTGTGCCCAACACCTGCTGAATGGAGAGACGCTGAGCGGCGTCTACACCATTTACATCAACAGAGACCCCAGCCAGGGTGTGCAGGTGTACTGTGACATGACCACTGATGAAGGGGGCTGGATTGTAAGTCACTGTGAAGATAACGCCTTCTTTTAATAGCACTTTTGCCATTTATGTGCAAATGATGTGTATGTTCTTGTTGACCTTACTATGATCCCCCAACACTGCTGGTACTCAACAACTGGCAGACGAGCTGAATGGCTTTTATGGTAGGTTTGAAAAGCTCACAGTCATACCTCTCCCCCACTCCAACACCATCTTCAAACAGTCACCTTCCCCCTCTGACAAGCTGTCACCCCCCTCTCTGACCCCTCATGATCTGTCAAGAGGACGTGAGCCAGCTCTTCCAAAGGCAGAAGATCAGGAAGGCTCCTGGCCCCGACTGTGTGTCTCCATCCTGCCTGAAAAGCTGTGCAGGCAAGCACACAGATCTTCAACAGATCACTGGAGCTGTGTGAAGTTCCCTCCTGCTTCAAACGCTCCACAATCATCCCGGTCCCCTGTAGTCATGAAGTCCTTTGAAAGACTGGTGTTGGCCCACCTGAAGGACATTACAGGCCCCCTGCTGGACCCCCTGCAGTTTGCCTACAGGGCTAACAGGTCAGTGGACTGCATCACATCCTGCAACACCATGACTCTCCAGGGACATATGCAAGGATCCTGTTCGTGGACTTCAGCTCGGCGTTTAACACCATCATCCCGGACATCCTCAGCACCAAACTCACCCAACTCACTGTGCCAGCCTCCACCTGTCAGTGGATCACAAACTTCCTGACTGACAGGAGTCAGCAGGTGAGGCTGGGGAACATCACATCCAGCACCCGGACTATTAGCACTGGCGGCCCCCAGGGGTGCGTGCTCTCCCCTCTGCTCTTCTTCCTCTACACCAACGACTGCACCTCAGGGGACCCATCTGTCAAACTCCTGAAGTTCGCTGACGACACAACGACCATCGGCCTCATCCGGGACGGTGACGAGTCGGCCTACAGACGGGAGGTTGATCAGCTGGCTCTCTGGTGCGGCCAGAACAACCTGGAGCTTAACACGCTCAAAACTGTGGAGATGATCGTGGACTTCAGGAGCAGCCCCCCCACTCTGCCCCCCATCACCATACTCAACAGCCCTGTGTCTGCTGTGGAATCCTTCAGGTTTCTGGGATCCACTATATCCCAGGACCTAAAGTGGGAACCCAACACTGACTCCATCATTAAGAAGGCCCAGCAGAGGTTGTACTTCCTTCACCAGCTCAGGAAGCTCAACCTGCCTAAGGAGCTGCTGATCCACTTTTACACAGCCATCATCCAGTCTGTCCTCTGCACGTCCATCACTGTCTGGTTTGGATCTGCCACCAAAAAAGGACAGGAGCAGACTACAACGGACAGTCTGGACTGCAGAAAAGATCATCGGTGCCAACCTGCCTTCCATTCAGGACTTATACATTTCCAGAGTCCAACAGACTCAGGAGCGGTTTCTTCCCACAAGCCATCACTCTGATGAACAGCAGATTTTTGACTCACGGTGTCAGGAACAATTGTGCAATAATCCAGTAACTCTGTCTCTAATCAGCCACCTATTTACTGGCTAACACATTATTTATTCACCATTCTCTATTTCAGTGCTGTTCATACTGTTATATTGTAGATACTGTATATCAATCCACCTACCTCAAGTCATTACTCCTGCACAAACTACTTATACTTATTTATTCTAGCATCCTTTGCACTATGCTTCATTGCACTGTGTACATGTGTACATGTATATGTACCTGTGTATCACATCCACCTCCGACATGTACATACTCCTGCATCCTTTGCACTCTGCTCACTGCACTATTTGTCAATATGTCTATATTGTTTTTGTTCATAGTGTGTATATTTGTGTTGTCTCATTGAAGTCTGTGTCTGTTTTTATTTTATTTTTATTATTGTGATTTTGTATTTTTGTATGAGCACATCGTGAGCAACGTACAATCCTGAGTCAAATTCCTCATGTGTGTACACATACCTGGCAATAAAAGCTGATTCTGATTTTGACATTTTGAATTGTTTAATTTATTATCGTTACTATTATTTATATATTTACCATTATGATTCATCTGAGGATTCATCTGTATTTTAAATAAATACATAAATGCTAATGTAAGAAACTGTGTCAGTTAGGTTCAAAAGAGGAGGAAGAGAGACGGGAGGAAAGGACTTTATTGGATCAAATATAATACTGAATGTCCTTGTGATCACAACACTGTTATGTATTTTTCTCATCTTGTCTCATCATATTTTGGTGTTCAGGTCTTCCAGCGTCGTCAGAATGGCCTGACAGACTTCTCCAGGAAGTGGAGTGACTATCGGGTCGGCTTTGGAAACCTGGAGGATGAATTCTGGCTTGGTAAGATTCTTACTCCGAGATCATTAGTCTAGAGAAAGAATGTGTAGTGTCGTTTCAAATACAAGGAGTTACCATCACTTTTTATTTTTTTTTTGGCATAACAACTTCTCTATTTTAACATAACTTGGAGGATATAAAAATCTGTAACATCTCCCTCAATTAAAATAAGGTAGAACCTGGTTTGTCGCTCTACATTTAATTATATTTTTCTTTATAAACCTAAAATGATACTGATTGATAGTAGTTTTATTAGAAAAGTCACAGGTAAGGACAGGTTTGCTGCTGCCTTATTTCAACCTAATGTCACCCTGCCCAATATATTTCAGCTGTATTTCATGGGCTGCAGGCTGATAGTGCATCGCAACCTGCCACAAATTTAGTTCAATCTCTGTTCCAGTTTTCTGAAGGCTGTATTGCCCTCTTTATCTACACGCCTTCTCCATGACCGAAGTGGATTTAATAGGTGCAATCAATATAAGGTCATGGCTTTCACTTGGTTTCAATTGATACATCTATTTTATGGAGAGGCATGAAGTTTCCAATATCTTGTGCAGGCAGTATAGCCTTTAGATTTTTCCCTCATCATTTCAGCACTCGACTTCACAAAGTCTATCCGATTCATTACTGGATTCTCTGAAAGATCATCTCTCCCTGAAATGACTTGGTAATTGTTTTTAGCGTCACTCTGATTCAAAGACAAAACAACAGAACATCCTCTCTGTTTTGATGGACTGCTAAATCCCCCCTCCCCCTGTACCCCAATCTCATTATGAAGCAATAATTATATTCATTAGAAAATGTGCAAATGAGTCATGTTTCTTCATGGGCCAGTTTTTGTGTTATTGTTTTGGTGCAGATGATTAAAGCAAAATATTACATGAATATTTCATTCACTGAATCAGGACCTTGAGAAGAATGTTTTTTGAACTTTCTGATTAGAGAAATGAAACAACACTGGGGGGAAATTTTAGGGCATTGCATTATCACCACATTATAACAGATGGAGGGCTGCTACTTTGCAGCTGACACATACTGGATCATAACACAAGATAGCTGTGGAAAACTCTAGTCCATTAGTGACTAAGCACACTGTAATAGATGAAACTATAAAAAGAGCAGGAGTTGGCAATATAATGCAATCTGATAGAAAAGCATGCAATTCTTGTTGTCTTACTTTTAAAGCTGTATGTTTGCAGTGTTGCCAAGTTGAATTGAATAATAATGGCAGCTGCTCCTGTTACTTTTGTACACCACCACCGAGGGTGTTCAAAGGTAGCTCTTAACATTTTATCACAATAGAAAAAGTGGGATTGCTGTCTGCTGGTATAAATTAATAATTTATCAGTTTCTGTATTTCATACAGAGAAGAAGAATATTGGACAGCACAACACACAGGAGAGAAAAACAATCCTCCTTGCACACTATACAGTGTAACATAGATATACGGATACAGTGCGCTGTAAAAGTCACAGCAGTGTTTTAGCTGTTTCTGGCAGACACCTGAAGGCATCATGTAGCTGCACTTGCCTCATATTTGGCAGGTTTATAATGACTCTCTCTGTACAATATGATGTGAAGATGCCGCAGCATATCTGGTTCAGTGAGTACAATAATTCATCTGACCCATTTCCACTTTCGCTGATTCAGTAATAATCTGCCCTCTTACCAATTCTGGACGCAGACCAGTCCAGGGCACCTCCATCTCCAGGGCCTTGCATGACTTTTTTAGCCATATTTCTTCTGTCCTGTACAGTACTCTCTCCTCTCAGTACATAAAAGCAGCTTAATGTCACCTCAGGGTGTGGAGCATCAAGAGCTACTCTTTGCGCCTGTGAAAGCTTCTCCCAGTGATTACAGATAACATGCCAGCAGGGAACACGGTAGCCTCAGAGTATGGCCCAAAATGTCAAGTCTGCTGTTTGAAACTGACCCATTTGCCGTCTGATATAGTGGTTAAAATGGTTGTGAGCAGGGGACCAAGTTGATGGGACAGCTGGGCCTGTTAATACTGTCAAAAATATTTGATAGTACAACAGTTCCCATAATGCTTTCGGAGATTAAAAGAATTGAAGCCTTTGGCCACCATCATGTTGATTTTTTGCAAACAGGCACCAAACGTGACGATATTTGGACAAGACGGTGGCGGCTTGGTTAGCTAGGTGCAGCTGTAATTTACTTTAACTGTGATTTTAACCGGGATGCTTATTTTGGCTAGCAAAAAAACAGGCTTAAAACTAAACGTACTTACCGGAAAAAATTTAGTTTACATAGTGCAGTGATAACATACTGATAACATTTAGAAAGTCTAGAAGGGCTGTTAAATCATTTAATTCCCATTCAAGTTAGCTGAGAGCTAAACCAGAAGTTAGCCAGAAGTCTCTGTTGCGCTTGCTCCATGAGGTGGGGTTAAAGGAAATGCGAGTGCGTTTGTTCCTGTGGGGCTGCACAATGTGGAAGATTCAGGTAATTTTATACCCGGAAGTCCGACTTTTTTTGGCTTCATGAAACACTGAGCAGCTCCTTTAATTGCCTCCATGAGCTATGTGTCACATTGTTAATAACTAACTTCCAGAACTACACATAAAGTAGAATTTTCAAATGCAGTTATAACAAGTTATAACAAGTTATAGCAATTGTTTGGCACAAATATTAAGTATTATCCATACCCATTATGTCTGTGTTCTTACATATTACTGGCAAAACCCTAAACACTTAACCTTTTGGAAAAAGTAACTACTAATACAACTGTTCTGAATGTCTCCGCAAATATATATTAGGCGTAGCTACTTTCACATCAGTGTTGCCATGTATTATTTTCTGTGTTATGTCCTGTGACTGTGTTTGCTGTGCATTTCAGTGTTAAAATGTATCATTGTTATAGGAAGTAAATGGTATCGTCACACAGATGGTCACTGCAGTTTCAAACCATCTGACTTTCACTCTTCTTTCTACAGATTAGGTCGCTGTCATAGAGAGCCATTATAGCAAACATTTAGCTAATCACCGCCTCTACACACAGAACAGCAATATATTGAACAGTATGGAACCATAAAAATCGATATTAAATCCACTCAAACTGAAAAGAAGAGGCATTTAACTGGTCAGCTGTAAAGAATATGGAAATTAAGCTTTCATTATTATCTGTTACAGTTTGAAAACGGGCGTTTTTATTGCTGCTCTAGGGCAATCTGTTCTCCCTGCTCGCTGACCTCAGCCAGTTTTAAAGCTGAACACAATGTCAGTTTGATGATGTAATAACAGAGAGAAACCAGGGTGGCTGTGTGCAAGTGTGGTCATTATCCCATTCGCTTGCTTTTTAAAAATTCCCCCTCCCCCTCTTGTTTCTGTCTAAGTGTGAGAGAAAAGCTGGTCATAAAATGTGACGAGTTGATAATATTGGTAGTATAATAAGACAAGTGCAATAGTATGTCAAAATGCATTCTTAATTGCTGCAGTTTGGAATAGAGCGGCCTAATCCCATAAAACTGTTGGAAGGAAAAAAAAAACAGTAAAAAATTATGGGTACAAGATTAATTGCTGATAATACAGTGATATTATACAATGGAAATTAGACATGACTAAGTGTTAAACACAGTTTTATTACAACAATTTCTTCTCCCCTGTCACCCTAAGTGCTTTCGGGTTGCAAACATAGATTTTATCTGCTTACCATTGGCATATTATGGCAGAGTTAGTTTTCCTACTCTCCAGGATTTTATACTTCCTATTCCTTATCAGCGAAGGCTAGAGGATTTTTAGCTTTTCTATAAATTTTTTTCCGGCTTGAAAAAAAAGCGTACAGGTGATCCTTCTGTTGGAGGAGAGTCTTTTCTAAATGGGTGCTTGTTGTAATCTGATGGTGAAGGCAGTTCCAATCTCTCAGGTCGATGTGGGGCCTTATCGCCTGTCGGGGTTCAAACGAGCCCTCGTATCTGCTGCCTTGGAGATAGAGAGCAAAGCCACATATCTCAGAAAGTTGCGACATGGGGCCTTTGCAGGGGGGCTGGTGGCCACAGTGTCCACCGCTCTCGACAATGTCAATCATCCACTTCCATACAACCAGCTTACAAAGACGTCTTACATAGTGTTTATCAGGATTTTAACCTCTAACCTACACGTTTGTTATAGATTTTTGTATTTTGTTCATCTAATATTGACATTCTCTCGTTCTGTATTGGAATTTTACTATCACTATTTTCATCTACTCTGTACACCAGGGGCTTCATGTATAAACGCTGCCTACGCACAAAAAGGTTACGTACGCTGGTTTTCACGCACACGTGGGATGTATAAAAATGACCGTGACGTGAGAATGTGCAAGCCGTGGTGCAAACTCTTGAGCTGCTGTGAGAATACATAGGACCCTCTGCAAACTTTTGTCTGGCTCTTTCAGTAAACTCTAAAGTGCCAAAACTCACCAAATGTTTCAAAATAGCGTTTCCACTGCAGTTACTAGGCATATGTCAATGAAGTAGTCAATCAAAAACCTAATTATATCCGTTAATACACAATAAAACTTTGATCATGTGTGTAGTGGTTTAATATCAAAATAAAATTGAATGTTAGAGGAATAGATAATAATGGCTCTCACATATTTAATTTCGCTTAATATCACACGGTATCACTATCATTTAAACATTCAAACCAGCAGTGTTATTTGTGCTCACGCTACTGAGCCATAACTATTCCATACTGCACCTTTCAATTGTAAAAGAAATAAAATAAGCCAAATTAGTGCCAAATCTTAAATCAATGTCCGCTAAATATTTCATCAGACCATGGTCTTCATGGTCAGTTGTGAACCTGCCAGCCTAAAGCCAGGATAATGTCAGGTGGCAGGATTCAGGCTGCATTTCCCCGACGTGAATTTAGCTTCTGAGTCCTTTTCAGACTTAAACTCGGCTAACGGATAGAATTATCATCATCGTGATCACCTATCACCTATCACCTATCACCTTTTAGTTTTCAGTTTAGTTTGGTGTGTAAATGCTGCGGTGAACAGACTGTGCTGTCAGGCGCACAGTGTGTACTGAGATGCACAAACAGATCTGCCTTCTCCCCTCGACTCACCCGACTCATCTTCACCACCTGCATATATGGACTGTGTAAATAAAAAATGTCTGGAAATAAAGCCAGGGACAGCTCTCACACAATCTCCATTCTCATCATCAGTCCTCATGATGCAGACTAAAACCGACATTAAAAAATGTGTTCACCTGTCAAACCTCAGTCTTCAAATGATCTCCCAGGATTACTGACTGAAGCCATCATTTTGGCATCATTTTGATTGCTGTAAACATATGAAAACTGTGTGACACTCGTTCGTAATGCTGCATGGCTGCCCAATGGCACTGCAGAGGAACGCGAGTGGAAGGATCAGAGTTCCATGAAGATTTCCTGGCCCACGATGATGACTGGCTAATACTTCGATTTAGATTCCCTGGAGTTGGGCTCTTGGGTCTGTGTGCTGAACTGGGTCCAGCATTTGACAGACCAACCTGGCGGAACCGTGCAAGTAGACCACTACCACTATTACCACTGTTTCTGGCAGCCGGCTGTTAGCAACGGGAGCCGCTAATTTGCATAGTAATGTCAGTTTCACGTTGATTGGGATGTATAAAGGAAAGGTGCGCAGGACCTTGCGTATGCTTTGTTTTATACATGTGGATATTTCTGTGCGTATGTACTTTTCAAATTCTGTGAGTACGCCATCTTTCAGTATGAAAGCTGCACAGTCTTTTATACACCTACTACAGGTCACAGAAGTCTGGGGCAGCTAAAGAAATAATTGGTCTTTTTCCATAATTATGTGAGCAGTCATGATCTGACATTATTCTGTACGAGACATGAGAACTTGTATTTTACCAGTTAAATGATTTTAATGTGAAGCTGGAAATGTTCACTTTGCATTAGCAGTAACTTGACAGAGCATTTTACCATGAATTTTGCCACAGATGCAGTGTCTAATACTGCAAAAATATTAATATTGCAGTATTATATCCAGTTGATGATCACTGCTGTACACACACACACACACACACACACACACTCACACACACCCCCCATATATTGCATGTCTATACGTCTTGGAATAGGGATTCCTCCTCTGTTGCTCTAGTAGTATTTTTTGTGTTTGAGTGTTTCCTCATCTGAATTAAGGATCTAAGAACAGGTGGTTCCACATGTAAAGATTGTAAAGTCTTTTGAGTAACATTTGTGATTTGCAATTTTGGGCTCTATAAAAGAATTTCACTTGGGATGACTCTTCCAGGAAACCTGCATTGTTTAAATCCATGTTTGCTGCTTGAAGCCTTCTTCTGTCCTGCATTTTTCTGGCACATTTCTGTCACCTGTCAGTCAGGAGAATAGTGTGAAACCATTCCAGCACCAAATCTTATTTGGTTATTAAATGGTTGAGAGCCAGTTAGATTGGAAGTAAAATGATATTTTCAAAACAGCAGGTGTAACTATCACAATTTGATTTGTCTGTCTGGGGTCGACATACATACAACGCGTATCTACAATACAGTATAATTTGTGTTGTTTTTTTTCTCCACAGGCCTGGACAACATCCAGAGGATTGCTGCTCAGGGCCGTTATGAGCTGAGAATTGACATGAAGGACGGACAGGAGTCTGTCTACGCAAATTATGACAAATTCTCCATTGGAGATGCGAGAAACCTGTACAAGCTGAGGATAGGAGAATACAATGGCACCGCTGGTATGTGGTTGAATGCATTGGGAATATTTGTTTAAGTTAATGTAATTATTTTGCATTTTACTTTACGGCTCTGTGGATGGTAGCCTTATGATCAATCCACAGACTGTATAGAAATAGCCAGTGAGAACATCAACATGGAAATCTTTTTGCTATATGAATCTTTTCCTGTTCCAAAATACTAAACTATATCAGGGTCCAAAATGAACAATTTCACATTGTTATCCTCAAACGAGTGTCCTTTGTCAACGATAGAGGAATTAAAGAAGCCATTTAAACCCGAGTAGAGAAACCATCCCTCAACAGTGACGGAGGTTTGCGACAGCACTTATCTCCCACTTACAATGCTCTCAATGACGGCTGACCTCATTTATTTTATTTGCCAATGTAATTTCTTACTTGCATTTGACGAGTGCTAATTTTGTACCCTGCGGTACCCTATGCTGTAATATAGTGTGTGCTCTCCCCAACCTTTAAGTGAAAATACTCTTCCTTCTGTCCTCTGCCATTTTTTCTCCTGCCTCCTTTCCGTTCTCTTTTCTTCTCCCTGATGTCTGAAACCTGCTTCAGCACTCCTCCACATTTCCGCCCTTGTCCTCGCTCTCCATGTATCTCTCAGTCTGTCAACATGACCATATGCCAGAATTACCCATCATCCCCTCATGTTTATAATTATAATTCTCTCTGCCTAAATATATTCAGAGAGCCTGCTGCAGGACCTTTTTCCTCTCATGTCTCTCCATCTCCCTCCTGCCTGCCTGCTCGTTTATGTCCCCTCATCACGCCGTTATTCACTTCAACCATATGCCGATGTTGCCCAGAATTTGCTGATGGTCTCTCTCTCTCTCGCTCTCTCTCCCCTCTTCTGACCCCAGGTGACTCTCTGAGCTACCACCAGGGCCGTCCCTTCTCTACAAAAGACAGAGACAATGACATCGCAGTCACTAACTGTGCCTTGTCTTACAAAGGAGCCTGGTGGTACAAGAACTGCCACCGGGCCAACCTCAATGGCAAATACGGCGAGTCCAGACACAGTCAGGTCAGTCATCCCGTAAATACACAAACTGATCAAAGAGAGAATGTGCCAAATGAAATAGTCAGTAAATGTGTTTATCATCAGGCCAAACATATTTTGTGGTGTAAGTTAGAAAAAGATTAAAGGTTGGTTCAAATTACAAAAGAACACTCCTACATACTATCTGGGGTGCAAGACAAGGATGGATTGCCAACATGGCAAAGTAGACAGCTGCGCCAGAATCACAGAACTCCAGGGGCCCCAAAAACTCCAGACTGTTTGTGTCAATACATTTGTTTTAATTAAATTTATATTTAGTTAGGGAATATGCAGCACTAAAGCAGAATATCAACTGACATGATAAGGGTCTTAAAGTGGGTGAGCATTATTACCTGAGTTTGTGGTCCTGTCTCAGAGAAGGTCCCTGTGTCAGTCTTCTTTAAGAGCGGGTTGGGTGAACCAACTGTTTAACTCAATGCAATCATTTAAAAAAAGGTGGCATTTTGGCATTTACAAAACTCACACAAACTGGCCTGATTATGGCAGTGATTAAAGGTTAACATTTCTCATTTTGAAAGGCTTATAATTAGTATATTAAATTACATGAAACTCGCCACAGGCATCCTTCTCCATACCGGTTACACTCATTGGCCTGATGGAGGAGCTGTAATGAAAGGTCAGAAAAGAAAAGGCTCATACCTGCTACACTGTCAACACACTTTGTCAATCTTAATATTTATTTCTAAAAAATACCTGTTCATCTGTTATGAATGATGAATGATTTTAGCTTATCTAAAACACTCATACCAATATTTTTATGTACAGAAATATATGGAAGGTAAAGGCCAGAGTTCATTTAAAAGATTAAGCAAGCACGCAAAATGCAGATGGTTACAAATATAAACACTGATACACTGATACCCCATTCAGACTGACATTGGCTTTTTTTTTTAATACTACGTGTGAGTGTGATTACGCATTGAGGGCTTTTCTGGTCATTTTGACGAGTGCGTGATGTGCTCGCTGTTTCTCTCTCTGCTTGATGCTGAAATGGCTCAAGAAAGGAGAGTGAGGTGTTGTGTGAAGCTGTGATTAGGCTGAACTACAAAGGCTTTTGGAGCTTCAGCGCTTCTGTGCCTTTCTCTTTGTTGCATGATGACATGAAATGAGCCCAGGTGGGAGCAGAGATGGACAGGCATGAAGACATGCAGGGAGAAATTGCCTTTCAGTGTCAAGCTGCTAATGAGAGGGTTTTGGTGGGGATTAGGAGGGTTGGCGTGAGACTATAATTGCACTAAATTCAAAATTGTTCTATCTCTTAAGTCAGGATTGTTGCCCTCCTTCTTTGAAGACTTCTTTCAGTTGAAATTAAAATACACTTTCCTGAAAAGATCCTGTTATTTTCCATTTTCTCAAATGCCTTGTTGATTCTACCAGCTTCTGAAATCAATCTCTCGCTCTCACAGGGTATTAACTGGTACCACTGGAAAGGCCACGAGTTCTCTATTCCTTTTGTGGAGATGAAGATGAGGCCGTTCAACTTCCGTAGCATCAGCAGCAAGAGGAGGCGGTCTGCGCCTGAATAAACAAACCGCCTTCACCCAGCCCAGAGTCAAGGATAAACGGAGTTTGGACAATGTTTAGTGACGAGTTTCTTCTATCTGTGTGCTTCGCTCATGTGCTATTTAATGCCTTTTAGTGAGGCTGCAAAGAAAAAAAGTGGGTTATGACAAAAAGCTACTAATATTTTATTAATATTCAGTTGTAAAATAATAAAACACATTATTATTAATACACCACCAACAATCAGAAACTGTTATAACCATGGATGAGATCATGAAATAGCAGAGAGGGTGAAACAATGTCCGAACTCTGTTTATATCTGCTCTTTCCCAGCTTTAGCTGTCTTTCCCTGCTGTAATTCTACCCAGACGATAGAGGACACTGTATGTAATTTATTAAATACTTTGAATGACAATGGTTCTATTTGCTGTAAAATGGAAAGGCAAACAAAGAAGCTTTTTTTTCTCCTTTAAGTCCAATTTGCCTTTCCCTGGGATAAGAGGAAATGTGCTCAGAAATACTCAGAAAGAGTGCGAGAGCTAGCGTGATTTTAACCGTTAAGAAATAATAACACTTTTAACGAAAAATATACTGTATATGCCCTTAAAACCCTTAACTGTAAGATATATATATTTTTATAACTGATATTGTGACAGAAGTCCATCTATTTAATATGATTTGATGCCTATATGAAGTTAATGATAAAACCTTGAGGACAAATTCTGGACATAAGAGATAAAATTAACATCAAAAAGCAAAATCATCATTCACAAAGCAGTGCACCAGCAACAGCTTCATTACCACCTAGTTTATTTATTTTATTTCTCTCTCTTTCTGTGTTACTGTTAATTACAATATCCTTTGTGTTAAATATTAAAGCCGTATGAAATATTCAATATTAAACTTTATTATTATTGGTAGCCACACTGAGACAGTATTTTGCACTACGAGTGGGAACACAGCAAAGCTATTGTTGTTTAATCAATTCAAATTATTTTTTTAGTTGTTCATGGGCATTTAATATTATTTCCTGGACTTTATTTTCAAGCAAATTGCAAACACTTAAGTGATTGCTTGCAGAGATGGTGCAGATAAGTGTAACATGTAACCAAAGATCTGCATAATAAAGACTCGGCCCACTGTTTGGAAAGGTGCCCGTCAGTTCTGTCACCAAAGTCACTGAAGCAGCTTTTTTCATGTATTAATAGAGTCTCACTTTTCAGGGACTTTTATGGTAATCATGTCCCCAGGTGATATTTTATGCAATGTGAACACTAAATTCTATGCAAAAGAAAGTCGTGGTGGGCATGGTGCAGATTTTAGCCTTGCCTATTAGCTGAAATGAACTTAAAGAAAGCGGAACAGTAGGTGGAGTGGAGCCAAGTCTTTCTTCTGAGCCTTTCTTGTACTTGCTTCGCTATTTAAGCTCCCCAGTGAAACAACAAAATCAGCAAACATGGCAGAGAATGCATTGTTTTAGTAGGACCAGCGTAAGCCGCAGCATGCCCACCAAGCATTTTGTTCTATTCAGTGTTCACACTGTTGCACAAAGGGTTGAGTGCCAGTGCGTTGACTGCAGTTTTCTGGAGCCAGAAAACTGCGGTTTCCTCCCTCCTCTCATCTCTGTGGAGTTTGAAGACAAACCACACACAACTAGCTAAATCTTCTCTCTGGCTTCATACTTTAAAAATAAACACAAGTTGTTGTCCAATATAATCCTTGGAAATCAGTGTCACCATCGCTGCAAGCAGCATTTTATATTCAATAATCAAAATATTAACAGCTGGAAATCTCATTCTGGTACTTCTGTCAGTTTCTTTAATTCTCTCACTGAAGCAAACCAGGAAGTCTGGCTTGTATCATATGCGTATATTTTTCATTTGTGTTCTTTGTCCTTTTTAGACTTGAAAACAATGGTGACTCTCCCCTCTATAAACTACAACTTATATACTCATGTAGCTATAGAGTTGAAGATAATGTGACTTTTGGTGTGTTCTCCCTTTAGATGCAAACTAATTCAGAAAGCCCTCTGAAACACTTCCCCTTTTAACCACTGTATTTTTAACCATGGTTGTGTTAATGGGTGGATGGAGCCTACTGCATGTTGACTTAAATTGCAACCAAGAGCCTGATAATTAGTAACAAATGTCACTGGAGTACATGTTCTAATCTGATTTGTAGTGACACATTTCTTTGCTGGTCTGGGTAAAAGGTGCTCTTGAAATGGTTTTTAAAAAGGTAGAATAAAAACAATATTTATAAGAAGCTGTTTCATCACGCAACCTTTCCCAGGTCTGATTAATGTTTCAGTGTCAAAGTGACTGTTTCAGAGCCTTTCATGCAATCCATCTCCCATAGTGATTTATAGTAGAGTAGGGAACTCTTTATGTACTTATTTTATTAACTACTTGGATGAAGTTTGCCTCGGTGCAGTTTTGTACATGGAACGAAGGTCATGAAGCTTTGCAGAAAAGAAAAAAGAATGTTATTTGTATTGTGACGGTTTTCTCTCATGGCAAACCGTGAGGTGCTCTTAAATATTTCAAGAGGAAAGCTGATATATATTTAAGTTCATTTTAAATATTTTTTCCCATCTGTAATCATTTTAAGCTTTTTCTGTCAATCAATGAGAAAACCACAAAAAGGAAATTGTTTAAGTTGCTGTGGAAAAGCCTATGTCTCACCTTTCATTTCAAGTTAATCATCTATGTATTTATTTTTTCTCTTTCCATTTGTTCAAAAACTTCTATTGCTTGTCACAAGCACGTTACATTAATCCATTAGTGTAATTGAAAGCTTAGTAATATTAGGCTACTCTTCATTGAGAGCTTTCAGGAAAACAAATTATTTGAAATTGAGAAAATGCAACCCTCATGGAAAAAAACATGCCTGAAATTATTTTCTTGATATTATAAATAATTTGATGTCATTCCCTTTAGCATAAAATATGAGCAAGTAGTTTGTTCCCATCATTTAAAGCCAACTGATCAAGTATTTTATCATCTTTGGAGGGTAGGGAGATGTTAAATTGTACGTTTTGATCATGTAAAATGTCATCTCTTCAGCTACTGAATAACATCAGGTTTGAAAAGAGCATCTCCATTATTTACACTTAAAACTCTCAGTCACTGGGAATACACTCACACTGATCATTGTTTGCTTCTACCAAGCTTCTCACTGGACAGGAAACCTGTTCCCCCTTATTTATTTCACTGCTATTTATTTTCCAATTACTTTGTGAAATTGTAAAAAAAAAAAAAAAAAAAAAAAAGCTAATAAAAATGCTTTATTTGATGGGTTTACTTTTACAAGTGACTTAACTGATAAAACCACCATGTCTGGTGGTATTTGTTATATAAGCCAGATACTGTAACTGCATTAATTTGAAATCTTGCCATGGAAATGTAAATGTTGACCAAATGTGATCTTGACTGTTTGAAAAGCTCATATGCTGAAATAAGGATTTTTGTTGGATAAACTTGGATTTTACTGTCAAATTTAGCTCTAGTTTGACTTATACATGTACTATATAGTTCCTTTTTTAATACATTTTCTACATATTAATAAAACATTCAAATAGTCTGATTTGGAGTGTTTTGTTTCTCTTTTTGTTTAGTATGTGCTGATTGCATGCTGTTGTACGTCAAGTTTATGGTGAACAACATCTTTGCATGAACAAAACTTTGGTTTGTTCCTTTTTGGAGATGAGTTTCATATAAAAGAAGTTGAGCGGTGGCCCTTACTCCCCCCTTTTTTACTCATGAAATAATGAAGTACCAAGAGCCGACTGACTCCATGTCATAAACTTTTAAAGTATCTTCACCTCTAATTGGATGCCATTAAAACCGAAGTGAGGCCAGCAGCAGTTCCAGGTGAACAGTGAAAAGTGCTGTCATAAAGGTCTTCCAGTATGGTTTGGCTGCATGACCCCTAATTTATGCTCATACGCAGAGACATAGCAGACCTGCACTGACATGAAAACACACCTGATAACTTTTAGTATAACATATAGACAACATTTATTCTACATAAAAATATGAATCGCCTTCAAATAGGTGATTGTAGAGAACGATCTGCTGGCAAGAGCACAGTTTTCAATTAGACTGTCAGAGTTCAGAAAAGGCATAATTTGAATTCATGACTTTCCAGTCTTTCTCCTAAGCTAAGCTATAGGAGCTGCAGAAACTTTATATTTACTGTTCAGCCATTAGAGTGTTATTGATTAGTGCTGACCAATAAATTGTATTTTCATTGCAATATGAACATGTGGAATAAACACATTGCAAAAAACTGTCACGCTGTAGCTTCTGCCCATATGTTTGTTCCTCTATGGGGACATCTTTTTGACATAATGCATCCCTAACCCCTTACCCTAACCTTAACCATCACAACCACATGCCTAACCTGAAGCCTTTACCCTAACCCTAACCCGAAACCCAGTCTTAACCCTCAAACAGCCCTTTAAACTTGTGGGATCTAGCATTTTGGTTCCCAAAAAGCTGTTTTTGGACCCCATGAATATAGTAAAATAAGTAAATCCACACACACAGTCAGCAGAGACAGTGATGTGAACAGGGTGAATTGAAGATAACTTGAAAGTGCAATAAACCTTCTGGGGTAAAAAACCAAGACATACACCTGTATGTAGAAAGCGGTATCTTAATCTGCTCTGTCAGCAGTCTATCATCCACCACCGCTGTGTTTTACACAAGCACAGCGTGCTAGCTCAGCAAACAGCGAACTGTTACAAACAAGCTGCAATGAAAGCTGTCTGTATGTAGTCTGTTTAGCTTAGTTTGCCACTCACCTTAAAATTGGCAATTCTTGTAAATGTAGCTGCTGACTGAGACATACCGCCACTTCAGTGCAGCAAGCGTGAGTTTTGGTAAACACTGGAAACTGGATTGCTACAAGATTAGTAAGTTTAAGTATTAATCATATATGATCTGTAGCCTACTAGCCGTTCTGTTGTTAAGTTAGAAGTAGGGATGTCTCGATTTCTTTGCCCCTGATCATGATCTGAGTCAGTGAATATTGATTATCTGTCAATTCCGAGTCCGTTACTTGTATTTCCCTAGATAATACAGTTGCACAGTGCACACTTAACGTACATTAAATTTCTCTCTCCTTTCAGAAGTATCGTCCATTTTGTGTTTTGCTTCGGCACAGCCTTTGCCTGAGTTACCTGAGTGAACTCTGTGCTAACCTTTTATCCCAAGGAGCACATGTGTTCCTAAATGAAAAGAATTAGGAGCACACAAAGAAATTGAGGAGCACACTAAAATATTTTTAGATTACACAAACAATTTATTACAATCAAATTTATAATACATGTGTGTGCTCCCTTCTCTTTTGTTCTGAGATGTGACTGAGATGTGAAAACAGTGGAGGATTATGGAAGTGAAGACCCTGGTTTCTGGACACTTGGCATGGGCCCAAAATATTGTCAAAGCTTTTTAACATATGAATTCATGTTTTGTCAGGTTAGTCTGCAAGATGATAAGAAAACAACCTTTAAAATGCTTGTTTTGTGAATGGTAACCGGATCGATCAGGGCCGTCCTTTGTTATGTTCTTTGATAGCAAGGTAAGATGATAGCTGGAATCAGGTAACAGACACGTGTCATGTTCAGAACTTACCAGGTAGTTCAGCTTTTTGCTTACTTTTCCGCAAGCAGTCTCCTGTTTTGTCCGGTTTCTGCGTAAATATGAAATAGTAGCTCTCACAGGGGGCGGACAGGTTAAGAAACGCAACTGAACATAAATCCACTTTTAAAAAATATTTCCACACTGCAGACATTTTAGCCGAGTCCTGCCTCAACATGCTCTCCGTTTACGACAGTTGTGTGACAGCTAAACAAAGCAAAGGATGGTGCTGAACACGCCTGATCTCATCCAGTCTCGGAAGACAAAAAAAAGGACTCAAAGTGATTAATCGATAATCAAAATAATTTTCAATTAATTTAATAGTTGACAACTAATCGTTGTAGCTGTACAATTAAAAATGTTCAAGGGTTCAAGTAAAAGGGCATTTGAGTAGTTGCCTGGTCACAGGTCTGACAAAGTGTTGGAAGTAACAATGTCAGTCATCCATGATGTCAGTTAAACTGCCACTGCTATGGCACTGTGCCAGAAGAAGTAAAGGTCAGTCACATGATCTGTTCGGCCAAGTGTCAGTTGTCAAATCAATACTAAGAAAGTTGTTTAATGAATTTGAGACTGCTTGTTGAAAGAGTGCATCAGACTACAAATTTTCTGAATCATCTTATTAAAAATAGCATTGAAGGCTCCACATTACAGGTGCAGGCTACAAACAGCTAGTTTGAGCGTCTTTACTCATGTAGAAAAAAAGATGCAGAACTACACACACATGCGTTATAGCAGCTACAGATTTTATCGCAATAACAAATACAAACCCTCAATTCAGCAGTTTTAAGATTCATTGTCTAATTACTGCACATTCTAATTATCTATTAATTATCCATTAAAATGTCTGGTCAGCACAAACAACTTAGTAAATAATGAGCCTGCATGAAGTTTGGGAATATATTAAGAGTCAGACACAAAAAAAGGGCAACACAAGATTAATGGTGCAGTAAAGGTCAGAGAGATAAGCTCATGTTCACTCTTTATCAAAACAAAACACTTCACCTGAACTGCTGTGTCAGGAAGACAATGCGCACAGTTTGAGGAGGTTCTCCGTCAGTCATGTGGAAGTTCTGTTGTGGATTGAGAATGAGAGGATGAATGTAGTTTTTGTTGAACAGAAACTACCAAGAGTAGTTTCAATAGCCCCTGATTTCACCACAAGTGCACACTGTGCCTTGTGCCTAACGTATCCTTAAAGCCATGACAGAGCTACACAGGGAGCAGTGTGAATTGATGACTGCTCAAACTAATCCGGATGTCTTACATAGTTGAAAAGACACAACGTGATTATACTGTATGATTAAACAGGCTACAAACCCTGCTGGGTTGATGACACCACCGCCACAGTCTGCTTCACACAGTGCAGTAAAGTTTGTTTAGTTCTTACACTTTCATGTTCTTACACTTTTGCCTGTGTGAGTTCGCAACTTGAATTAGTAGTTGACAGCCGGACGTAGACCATTTCAAAACAAAACCGCAGACCACACAGGCTGCTGAACCTGTGGCAAAAACGACTTGCACCATCCAGGCTAAATTAGATCTAATCTCATCTCAAAACAAATTAGGAGAAGTTGATTTGGGCTTGATAACAATGTTATACCACATACTCCACAAACTCTACCTCTTTTAATTTTCATTAATTACATTATATTACACATTATATATGTTTACTTAATTATGTTACATTACGTACATTAGAGTTTATACTATTATTTTGGACGGTTGCAGAGTTGCTCCGGTAGATATTTAATTATCAAACCAAAGTAGGGTGTGTAGCACCCCACCATCCTGTGCTGTGTTTGAAACACCATGGACTGAGTTTAGACTAGAACGGGGGTTTAAAGGCGTCTGTCCTGGTGCATTTATCAGTTTCTGACCCTGATAAAGTGGGAAAAAATTTCCCCAAAACTACTCTGAACTCTCTCTTTAACCAAATCACCCACGTAGGTTATTCTATGTGATCTCCTTCTGATAACTGATGTATTATTGTTTCACTTCCATTCACTGAGCCTCCCCTGAAAAGGCTTACCTTACACTTTGAAAACCTCTGGACTAGAATGAAGAGGGCTTTTGGGGTCTTATCTCAAGGTAGCTACTATCAAGGATTACCTAACAAAAGTTATTATTTATTTATTATTACAAAGTGCCAACAGAAATAACTACTTAACTTAAATTTGGGCTAATTCACTTATCACTATTTTTAAATAACTGATGTCAGTCAATGTTATTAAAAATGGTAACAGTTCACAAGCAGTTTAATTTGGATTTACAAATAATATTTTCCCCTAATGCTTTTGAAATTAATTAAAAAATAAAGTATACAAATAATGTAACACCACTTAAAAACTTTACCAGGTCAACTAATCATGGGGCAGACCCTTCTCTACATGTCTTTCCACACCCCGATCACTGAACTACAGTAATGTGATGGGGGTTAGGGACCGTGGTTATGGGAGGATGCCTCAGGTGGAGGATGCGCTTGCGAGCTATCTCTCCCCTCGACTTGCGTCCTTCCTCGAGAAGCCGGCGTTACCCTCCAAGCCATGTCGCACCACATCTACGCTCGTGGGGAAGGTGTACATGGCAGCGGGCCAGGCAGGTGCGAGCTTGCACACCATGGCGG